CTCTTTTCTTCCCGTCATTCTGGTGCAGGTTGATCTTAACTTCAGCCATCCAAAGCATGCTTTTCCAGAAGTGCTGTGGCTTTTTTAGATGTTTTTTGGCAAAGTCTAATCTGGCCTTGTTTGCAGCTTGTGGTGAAGCCTCTGTATTTGCTCTGGTGAAGTCTTCTCTTGCTTGTAGACTTTGACAGAGACTCGTCTTCTCTTGGCTGGATGTTGTGAAAGGGTTTTTCTTCACCATGGAGAGGATCCTCCGATCATCAGCACTGTTGTCCTCCGTGGACGTCCAGATCTCATGTTTCTGAGCTCACCAGTGTGTGCTTTTTCTCTCAGAATGTACCAAACTGTTGATTTGGCCGCTCCTGATGTTCCTGCTATCTCTCTGATGGAGCTGTTTTGTTTTTGAAGCCTAACAATCATCTGTTTCACTTGTATGGAGAGATCCTTCACAGCAACAGCTTCCAAACGCAAACGACACACTTAGAATCAACTCCAGAACTTGTACCTGCTTAACTGATGTAGAAATAACAAAAGAATGGCCCACATCTGTCCATGAAACAGCTTTTGAGTCAACTGTTCAATTACTTCTGGTCCCTTGAAAAAGGGGGAGGTACATATTAAAGAGCTGTAATTCCTTAACCTTTCCTCCAATTTCGATGAGAATACCCTCAAATTAAAGCTTAGAGTTCACTTTAAGCACACACACACACACAGTTAGCACACAGGAGCTCATGAAAGAAGAGCTTTAGGTTTTGAATAACTGTATGTATTTGATATATCCAAAAACATAATATTATGGCAAAGGTGTTTGCAAAGTAAGACAAACGTTTGCTTTTGAGATGTGTTTGTGATCTTTTGAACGCAGTGCTTCATTTTGCAAGAGCACTTTGCATTTTGTGTGTGCAGTTCTTGGATTTGTGTGTGAAGTTTTAAAAAAAGAGGCAAAGTTTTGAAAATGTGTGTAAGCAGTTGAAAAAAACTGTTTATTATCAATTAAAACTGAAATGAACGCAGTGCTTCATTTTGCAAGAGACGTGAGGCACTTTGCATTTTGTGTGTGCAGTTCTTGGATTTGTGTGTGAAGTTTTAAAAAAAGAGGCAAAGTTTTGAAAATGTGTGTAAGCAGTTGAAAAAAACTGTTTATTATCAATTAAAACTGAAATAAAAATAAAAAACTAGTAAAATAGTATTGGAAAAACTACAACTAATAAAAATGACAAAAAACAAACAAAATAACTGAAAATTAAACAAAAATTTAAATGAAAACCAAAAATATTATTCAAATATTATATTATTCATAAATATTCAAAATATTATTAAAAACTATGTTTATAAAAATTACTAAAACATTGTAAAAAAAAAAAAAAAAAACACAAATGAGATCTTTTTAGAGTCAATATAAAATGCTAATTCACTCACATTTATCATTTTACATTTAACATCTGCTTTTTATGATTCTATCAATTCCCGATGGACAAGATCAAGTGCCATTCTCTGTTTTATCAGAAATCTCCTGTTTCACTCAGAAATTCATCTCATTATGGAAGAAAAACGGGTTGCAAACTTCATTTCATATTGACTTTTATATTCATTCCATTTCATATTCAGCATCAAATCTCTTAAAGATCATCAAGAGTTTTGTTTGATGCAAGTAAACTAGATATTCACCAGAACCAATGTTATTTTAGTATTATTTCTAAAATATTAGTATTTATTAATATTCTGAATTGGCATTTGAATATTTTTGTTATTTGTATTACTTTATTATTTTTATTTATATATATATTTTTTAAATAGTTCTATTTAACTTTAATGTATTTTTATTTCAGTTTTAGAATTCTAGTACTTTAAATTAAATGTTTTTTTCAGTTAGTGGCCAATGCAACAATTTTAAGTTTTTCATCTAATATTGATATTAATGTTGCAAGACTCATTATTTCAAGATTCTTACAATTTCTATCCTCTCTTTTATCACTAAATAATAATAAATGGGTTGCAAAATGCATTTCATATTGACTTTTTTATGCTTGCAACGCTAAGGTCATGGGTTCGATTCCCAGGGAATGCATGAACTGATCAAAAGCAAATCCTGAATACAATGGAAGTCGCTTTGGATAAAAGCATCTGCCAAATAATATACTTTTTTATTCAAGACAGAATGAGATTAAATGGAGAGCAAAAGTTTGCTAAAGTCTCCTGCATCTCAGCGGTTTCTCCTGAGAAAACCTCACACGTCTCCTTCAGAGATTCAGAAGAGATCGCAACAATTTCTCAATCTGTACTTTCTAGTCTGCAATCACAAGACAGAGATCTCAATGTGAACTCACACATTCCTCAAGTCAATTCTGAGCTGCTCTGCATTGGTTTTATAGCTCTAGACTCATAATGCATGACAGCTATTGACTCACTTGAGTCTGTTTTCATTTCTCATAAGAAACGAACCAAAAACTCTCGTGTCCTGAGCTGTAAAAGAGCAGCATGAGAGCGATGCGAGACATTCTTACGGCGCTTGTGTACAGCAACGGTCTTTGTGAGACGCCGTTAATTAGATACATAAATCTGGAGACGGAGGAATGAATTCCTGCTTTGGTGACCCGTGTTTCCTGAGCGACGGACTCATCTCACATCCAAACAACACACAACTGTTAATGCATGAGAAAATGCTTGCCTAGTTTTGCTCTTAAAACAAGACTCATTTCCCTGAGAGGCTGTGTTGCTTAAGATATTAAGAATCAGATGTGTTTCATAGCCTCAGACTCTATGTGTTTTATTGTCTGGTCTTGTTCCAAAATCAGAGAAATCTTCCAGTGCAGTTATATTTCATCCAGTGGATCAGAGGTATAATGTCTCATCTTCACTTTGAAAATATCAGGTACTTGTTAAGAGGATCGGAAAAACATTTTTTTTTAAGATCTGGCGCCCCTCGAGTTATTATTTTGATCGTTCTATGTAATGCCCTATTATTGACTGAATTTTTCCCTTTTAAACTTTCACTAATTTTAATTTTTTTTTATTTCATTTCATTAAAAAAAAAAATGTTATCTGTTTTTTATTTCTTCTTATATAGTGTTTGTGCATATATTGGTATATACGTAATAATAATAATAATAAAATAATAATTTGCAATTAATTTAATTTTTTAATTAATGTATTTATTTTTTATTTAATATTATGGATGTTTATTTCTTTTAGAATTTTTTATTGATCTATTTTTATTTCTTATATTGTGTTTGTGCATATATTGGTATACACGTAATAATATATATATAATAATAATATGCAATTAATTTTAGTTAATTTTTAAATTAATTAATATAATTCTTTTTTTTTATTTTTATTGATTTTTATTTATTTCATGATTTTATTTATATTATTATTTTATCTATTTTTTTATTTCTTATCTTGTGTGCGTGCATATATATAGGCATATATATATGTAGCTTATGAAAATTAATGGTCAGAATTAGATTTGGTCTGGTGCCCCTCGATTCATTATTTTGATCGTTCTATGTAATGCCCTATTATTGACTGAATTTTTCCCTTTTAAACCCTAAATGGATGTCAAACCAGTGTTTTTTAAATTATTACTATTATTATTACATTTAAATCACT